AGGACGGATTCGTCTTCAAAGAGGGTGAGGACGTGCATTCCTGGTGGGTGCTGGAGTGTGGGTGAGCGCTGGAATGTGGGTGAGATTGAATGCTGGAGTAGGGTGAGTTGGTGAGTGTGGTGACTTCACTCACCAATGCCTGCCAGTGCAAGGACGTTAATGTCTTCTTAAGGCTGATAGGACGTGCATTCCTGGCGGGTGCTGGAATGTGGATGAGTGCTGGAGCGTGGGTGAGCGCTGGAGTGTGGGGTGGTTGAATGCTGGCCTGTCAGGCTGATTTTACCTCCTTCTACCCGCTGTTGCTTCATGTTACATGCTTGCCATCAAGAAAGGTTCAGAACGACCCTGCGCATTTGTCCCTGGATCCTTAGCCAGCCAGTCAGGCTGCTTTTACCTCCTTTTCTTCTGCTACCCGTGGCAGCAAAAGATCCTTGCAAGGCAGGCGCAGTGAAGTGCGGCAAGAACTTCAAGTGCGTTGTGAGGAACGGGAAGGGCGCTTGCGACTGTGAGGATGGCTACACCAAGAAGAACAACCAGTGCATTGGTGAGCTTTGAGGCGTCTCTAGAGTGTGTTGTGAAGAATGGGTAGGGCGCTTGTGGGCTTTGAAACATCTCATCTCAATAGGGCGCTGCTTGCGAGTGTGGGGACGGCTACACCAAGAAGAACAACCAGTGCATTGGTGAGCTTTGAAATGTCTCGGGCTTGTGTTGTTAAGAACGGCCAGTGCATTGGTGGGCTGACCACGTGATACCGAGTTGGTTTTGAGACGTCTCAAAACCAACGGCTACACCAAGGGGAGGAACGGCCAGTGCATTTTTTTGCTTTGAGACGTCTCAAGTGCATTGTGAAGAGCGGGCAGGGCGCTTGCGAGTATGACACCGGCTACATTAAGAACGGCCTCTGCACTGGTTAGTTTTCTCTGAGGCGTCTCAAAAGTGCATTTGTGAAGAATAGGCAAGGGAATTGTGAGTGTGACACCAGCTGCACCAACAAGAAAGGCCTCTGCACTGGTGAGCTGACCAAGCGCTTGCATTCAACAGCTGGTCACCATGAGTTTAAGAGGTCAAGAGGTGAAGAGGTCACGAGGCAGTTCCTCCTCCTTTTGAACCACTCGCTCTCACTTTTTCCCTCCCTGTTGCCCCACTCAACCTCATGCTTTTCCCCTCTCCCCCACCCTCCACCTCCCTCCCACGCACATCAGCCATTTTCAGGGCCTGCTCTGCTAATGCCCAGTGCCCGATGGTGGGGGTAGTGCTGGTGTATCAGTGCAGGAAGGGTTTCAAATTCTCTTTGCCGTCTCCCCCATCCCCCACCCCCACCTCCCACCTCCCTCCCTCCCACGCCAGCCATGTGCACGGCCTGCTCTGGTAATTCCCAGTGCGCGGTGGTGGGAGGAAAGGCAGTGTGTCAGTGCAAGAAGGGCTTCAAATGCTCTTTCCCCTCTCCCTCAACCCCCCACCTCCCACCTCCCTCCCACCCACGCCAGCCATGTGCACGGCCTGCTCTGGTAATGCCCAGTGTGCGGTGGTGGGAGGAGATCCTGTGTGTCAGTCAGTGCAGGAAGGGCTTCGAAAGCTCTTTCCCCTCTCCCCCACCCCCCTCTGCTTCTCCCCCCCACCCACGCCAGCCAAATGCAAGGCCTGCCCGGCTAATGCCCAGTGCGCGGTGGCGGGAGGAGTGGCGGGATGTCAGTGCAGGAAGGGCTTCAAACTGAACACGAAAACTAACAAGTGCACACGTTAAGGGAGAGTGATCGGGTACGGCTTTGCTTCTGTCAAGCGAAGAACAGGCAATCCTAGTTGGATAAGCAGGGGGTAAGGAGGCACAAGCTGGCGACACCAGAGGAACGTCAGATCGGTGGGGGCTGATGGAGCAGAAGTGGTCTTTGAGGCGCCTAAAAAATCGCGGAGGGACATCAGACCGGCGGAGGCTGATGGAGAAGAGGTGCGAACAACTGCATGCGTTTTCTCGGAGGCCAGGAAAGGAACCAACTTCGGCTGACGGTTGGCTGAGTCATCTAGTGCGTGTACTGCCAGCATGAGATCACATGCTTGGTTGGTTGGCTTGTTGTACTGGTTGTACCATAGTGTGTGTTTGTGTTGTTTTTTTTTTTTGGGGGGGGGGAAGGTCGTTTTAAACCGTGAAGCCTTTCTTGGTGCGGCTTGAGCCAGGCAAGAGATTTATCGAAAACCTTTGCAGGTGGTTACCATTTGGCACCTCATTTGTTTTCTGCATAGCTAGAGTACCGTACCTCTTGGAAAGCTTTGTTTGCTCCTGTAACAAATGGTTGCACATACGGTAGAATATTCATTATCAGGTTCACTACATACTACGAGTGAACACACCTACGGTAGTTGTTGAATGCAGCTAACAACATCCCACCCACACTATCCAGAAGCCAGAGCGGCACACAGCAGTTCCAACAGGACTAATAATCCAATCATTCTTTACCCCATGCCCAGCCCACCTCCTCCTTGGATCCATGTCCATGAGAGCAACACAACACGAGCAACAGCTTCAGCCACCTCTATCTCACACCACCGCCATCGAAGCCCAACCACCCTCCGAACGGCCATCCAACTTACCTTGCAACACCCTGAGAAGCAGGGTGAAAAAAAGGACCAGACAGTTCCCACCACACCACCCTTCCACTCTCGTTTCTCCACCACGTTAGCTGGCTGCTCTGTGCTTCTGACTGCACCTCTCCTCCCACCTTCTTCCCATCCTGCCATCTTTCCGTCACCCCACAGGCACTGTAATCTGCCCCCGAGCAGCAGGCCTCAAGGCCTTCTTAAGGCCTTGCTGTCACTGCCTTAGGTGACCACACAGACCATGATCTTGCATCACATTATGCAGCCATTCCGCATCTGTGTGTCTGTGTCTGTGAGTGTGTGATTTTTTTTTTCTGCATCTGCTTGTTCTTTATGTCGCTTTCTGTTCCTTCAGGAAGGATCACCACACCAGGAGATCCGCTCTTTCTCTGCTCCACGCCGGCACCACCATCTCCCTCCGGCTGCTGCCAGGTGCCGGAATGAGTGACGGTAGCACCCTTGCTTTAGCTCCTCCCATCATCCTCCTAGCAGGCTTCTTCGCTGCGGTTGAAACACACAGCCTTCCAATCATACCCGCCAGGGTAGTCATAGCTCGTGAGCTGAACACAGTGCTGGTCGCCGCAGCAGGGATGGTCACCGTGCTGCTGGCGACGCCTGAAGCACTGTCACAGCAGCCGACGTCGCTTGTGCCTATTGTGCCGCTACATGTTGTGCTGAACGGGGTCCCCATGCTGGTGCAGCAGCTGTCAGCGATGCTGGAGATTTCGTCCGCGTTGCTGCAGGTAGCTTCACTCACGACAGCATCATCGCAGCTGACGTCGTCAAGCATGGAGAGACCATCTTTGCAGTCAACATCACTCACGTCGCTGCTGCTTGTTGTGCTGTCAGGGACCATGGGTCTGATCGTAGAGAGCATGGAGATGATATCCAAGCACGGTGTGTTGGAGACGTCGCTGCAAGTGCTGCTCTGCTCGGATTCGTCCTGCAGGGAATCATCGTCTGCAGCGGAGCTTGTGGAGGTTAGCATCACATGCACCGGCGTTTGCTTCTTCTCACGGAGCTTCCATAAGGAGAGAGCTTCAGAATAGGTCGGATAGTCGGTTACAGCCATGTTAAAAGACAGTTGCTGAAGTTCCAGCTAGGAAAGTTAAGCAAGCTGAGAACACGAAGGTTGAAGCTGTCAAAACTGATTTGTTGAAAGAGAGATAGCAAAGATAACAAATGCAGACTTGAGATCATTGTGCTGGGGTTGCAGTTTTCTACGTGAGACAGAGGGCGCACGAGGAATCAGGCATGGGAAGGTGGGGATGTGTGAAGGGGGAACATGCATGGGATACGGGCAGAATAATGTTTTGGATTCATTGAATCAGCAGCTCTGATCATCTGGAACCTGCGCTGGCCATGCTGCCCGGACCTAAACTACCTTACCGTGACGACGGATGAAGCGAAATTGCTGCCCGAAGTTGGCTGGCGGAACGAATCCCGCGGAGTCTACTAGGCTCGGAACCCTGACTGCCGCAGCGCCTAAAAAACGTCATCGCCAAGCCTCCGCTTTACCGTCCAACCTCCTCCCCTGAAACATCGCGGCTGTCCGGAACGGAAGGTGCGTTTCGCTGAATGCATGCACAGCGGATTCCTCCTCAAATGCCGCAAGCCACATTCCCAAGGTAGCGAACTGATTTGAGAAAGTGGCGGGCTCTATTCAGGGAGAAAGACGCGCGCGGACGAAGATCGGGTTACTCGTCAAGCTGAAGACGTGCTGGCGAGAAGAGCGAAACATATTTATGGCTACATTGGAGTCTCTGGCGAATTTCGGGTTTCAGGGTCAAGGTTCCCTTGGGATCATAGCCCCATCAGCAGACAGGTGGGCAAGAGCTACGGTAAATGGAATGTATGAAGGGGATGAGGACTGTACCCTTTATAGTTGTCTATGTTAGCTAAAATTATGTTCAAATTACCAAGCACATGTAAAACTACTGCACATGTAACTATTGAGCACACTACCTGATGATTCGTTTATCCCTATATATTTGCCTATGCATTATTACAAAAAAAAAATTTGTGTGTGCGAAGGTTGTCGAACAACGATAACGTTCCTAGCATGGCCTTACAAATGATTTATCTCAGTGTGCGCTCCTCCTCCCCGATCCCTATTCGCCGCCATCCTTCTTGCAATTCCTGTGACAAAGGCACTGGTTCTGCTGTTTGAGTCTGTGAAGTGATGTCATCCTATGGACCAATGATTCTTTTCCAGCTGTATATCCGTGTATGCACGCAAACACCATCCCCTCATCTCGGCAGTGCCCTGTTGCTTTACTTGCCCGCATATGGTGATTATACGGTGCTATTTCGTTACAACCTTTCCTCTGCTTCTGGCTTCCTGTGTGAATCACTCCTGGTATGCCTTAAGCCTTCCACCCACTGCAGCTACAAGGAACCTTCACGCCCTAGACGCCCTTCCGTTGCCTCTTGCTGTGCTGGTTCCAGTGCCTCTTGCGCTGGTTGATGAACCAGTTGTTCACCTGCCGTGAGTCCAGCCCCGTCTGCCCCATCAGCTGCAGCTTCTCCTGCTCCTGCGCTCCAGGAGGGCACACAGCAACACATTCAGGGAGGTCCGGTGGGGCACACATCAACGGGAGGGAAGACGACGATCCAAAGGAAGGTGAACAGTACTTCAAGCTTATCAATGGGATGTGGCACACACTCACACCTGCCAGTTACCACACACCTGTCACTCTAACCAACACACCTGCCACTCTAACCAACACACCTGCCACTCTAACCAACACACCTGCCACTCTAACCAACACACTCTGCACTCACTGTGACACATGGTAAGGCACACATGCACACCTGCCACTCTAACCACCACACACCTCCACCACACACCTGCAACTCTGACCACACGCTTCGCACTCACAGTGGAGTGGGGTACGGCCAGCTGACGTGCTCGGTCCACCAGCGCAGAAACTTCCCCGTGGCTTCCTCGGGCAGCTTGCCCTTGACATGCTTGGCCACATGCTCCGCACTCACCGTCCGCAGGAACCCCCCAAACCGCCCCCTCACCGTCCGCTCCATCTGCTGCACACTCTCTATCCCCCCCTCCCTTTATACATACTGGTTGGCCTGAGAGCAAAGTCTCTCTCTCTCTCTCTCTCTCTCTCTCTCTCTCTCTCTCTCTCTCTCTCTCTCTCTCTCCCTCTCTTTCGCACACACACACCCCTGCCACTGCACCACACACTTGCCACACCACCACACACCTGCCACTCTCTGACCACACACTCAGACACTCACAGTAGGGTACGGCCAGGTGACATGCTCGGTCCACCAGCGCAGAAGCTTCCCCGTGGCTTCCTCGGGCAGCTTGCCCTTGGCATGCTTGGCCACATGCTCCGCACTCACCGTCCGCAGGAACCCCCCAAACCGCCCCCTCACCGCCCGCTCCACCTGCTCCACACTCTCTATCTCCTCCTCCTCGCCCTTGCCTTCCAAATCCCAATCTAGATTCGGACCCCGATTGCCCTGACCAGCGTCAAAGCCTTGTTGAATCTGCCCCATACCCCCAGCGCCCTTGGGAGACCCCTGAGCAGACTGAAAGGTGTGCTGAATCTGCTCCATTTCCCAATTGCCAGCGGACAAAGCTGAGCTGCCGGCCTCTGTCTTTGCGTGTGAGCCTAGACGGTGGTGTTCTTGGCTGTGAGTTGCAAGAGTTGGGCTTGTGCTGATGTCAGCCATGATGTCATCGTACATGTCGTCTTGGTCTCCTTCCAGGAAACCACCACTTCCTCTGCTTCCTATTGCGCTGCTGGTGAACGCACCATCACCATCACTGCTGCTACCACTGCCGCTGCTGCTGTTGCAGATTCCATGGTTGGCAGCATCAGCAACAGCAGCGTCAACACCGCCAGCATCAGGAACAGCATCACCAGCGGCAGCATCAGTAGCATCAGCATCACCACCAGCAGCATCAGCATCACCAGTAGCAGCAGCATCAGCATCCTGCAAGTGGCTGTTTTCCACGTCCACAAGGAACACCTCGGCAGTAGTGTGGGCTGCGAGCAGGCGAGTGCGGCATGCAACAAGGGCTTCAGAGAGAGACGCCTGGAAGAAGATTATGGAAGGTGAAGATAATCAAAGAGACATGAACGTGGTGACTGGCTCAATCCGGCTGCTGCGTGCAGCGAGCGCTTCAGCAAGAGACGTCTCGAAGAAGATTATGGGGGAAGATAGTCAAAGAGACATGAACGGGATGACTCAATCCGGCTGCTGCGTGCAGCGAGCGAGCCCTTCAGAGAGAGACACCTGGGAGAAGATAGTGGGGAATGGAGCGGGCATATGGATGTGAGGTGAGGCGAGCCAAGGCGGCTGTTGCATACAGTGAGCGCCCTAGAGAGAGACTCCTGGAAGTAGGTGTGGGGGTCACAGCACAGTAACATGAAAGGCATACGGATGCCTGAAAAAATGAGAGAGGAGGAAGGGAAGTTAAGGAAAGGAGGTGGTGACACTGGCATACCCGAGAAGTTACTGGAGCAGGGCGAGAAGAATACACATCCAGAGAGGAGGATACATACCCGCCAGAAGACAAGATCCACACCACACCCACAGAACAGGATACACGGATATACTTCCAGTGACCAGCGCTTTACAGCTGTCTTTTCCTACTTGCTTAAACCTACTCGTTCCTAAGAAAGCGCAGCTCACTGGAATTATGTCTGTATATCCAGAGAAGAGGATACATACCCGCCAGAGGATAAGATACTTACTCACAGAGCAGGATACACATCAGGTCGTGTGCACCTGCCCAGACAGATAAATACGTACCATCAGGTCGTGTGCACCAGCCAAGCTGTGGAGTGCTGACTCTAAGCCTGCATCCACTCCCACCGCACCCAACCCATTGGCACCCCTTGAGATGCTGATTAGAGCCTCTGACCTTCCATCCCCACTGACAGTTGAATTTGGGCCCTCCTCCTGGCTGCTCTCCCCGCCACACCTATCAGCGGCAGCACTCCTGTGTTTCTGTTGGTCAGCAGTGGTGAGTTTCGCCTGATTGACATCGGTGTGATTCAGCCCATTAGCGCTGCTGGGTTGATTCATCCAACAGCCGCTTGTGTATTTCAAATGCAGCGCAGCCACAGGATCAAAGCCATCAACGGCTGCCAGGAACTCGGGAGACGCCCCGATCTGGAGAAGTGCAGTGCAGAGGTACGAGGGGGCAGGGAGAGCGGAGGGGGAGGGGAGAGAGTGGGGGAAGAGGGAGAATGAAGAGGGGAAGGAGTGGGGGGGGGGGGGGGAGTGATATTGGAGGATGAAAAGAGAGCGGAACATGCAGAGTTGAGACGAAATAACTCAAAGGGCAAGACGTAGCAGAAAAATGGGCAGCGTGAGAGGCGCAGCTTGAGAGGCATAAAACTCCGCCTCTCATGGTTGAAATGCATGGTTATGCAGCACACCGTGAGGCAAGAAGCATAGGTGCGCAGCACGGTTTGGAATTCAGGCAGATTCAAAATATGTTGCTTCAGCTGCACGTCACACGCATGTGACCCAATCAGCTTCTGAACCTCTTCCCCTGACCGTTTTGGCACTTCCGCTACAGAGTATCTCGACACTTCCATCCGTGAGCGCAATGGTTGCAACTCCTCCTCTCTTCCTTTCTCTTTCTCCTGAGTTGCTTCTCGCTAGACCCTCGCTAGCTCCTCACTTTTTCTCTTCCTTCTATGGCTCCTCTTGATGCGTGTCCTCAATCCGTCTTTCCGCTCCATCGGTAGAGGTATTGCCAAAATTCGCAACTACGTCGCCGCGATGATCTGACTTAAACAACTTCGACGACGGCCGTCAGAAATCGTGCTGCGACGCGACGTTTGTGCGGGAGCTACGTCACCGCGACACCCTTTCGTGGCGTGTGCGTGTGCTGTGTTGTGATTGATGCACTCCCTCCCCCAACCTGACCGTTTGAAGAGGGAGAGCTTGCAAATCCGTGAGGTCAGCGAAGTGTCGCCTCACCCAAGTTTCGGTTACATCGGATTGAGGGCGTCTAACGGGTAAAGTAGTGCTAGTGTATTGCTTACTGTATACCCACCACTTAGAATTCCCCTATCTTATCACATACACAGAGGGCAAACATGAAGATAATTGAGGTGTGTATAATCTCAGCCGTTTTGCATCAGACAAAAAAATGAACTTTGTTCTAAGCACGAACAATCTCACCACAAACAGGACAGGACTCGCCTTAGCTACCAGTCATCCTCATCAACTTCCCTACACTTCACCATTTCCCCCTGGAAAAACCTTCTCCCCTGCAAAAATGTCTCCAGATCACTGCGGCATCTGAGCTCCCTTGGTGTGCAACCCTCAAGATTTAATCTAACCAGATTCTCAAACCTAGTGAGGAACACTGGAAGCGCCTCCAACTTCCAGCAGTCAATCAGATCCAACCTTGGTATTCCAGAGAAGTGTAACAAACCTCCAGGGAGCTCCGTATCTTGAATATTCACCAGCTGCAAGCAGGTCAGGCTCGGCGGACAAGTCATCCTCCCAGGCCTGCCCCGAGCCTGCACTTGGAGGTTCGTGATCCGAAGCGTATGAAGCGACCCGAACCGAGAGAGGGACCACAGGTAGCATGACTGGATATGGTAATGATCAACTACCAAAGTGCGCAGTGATTGTAGAACAGTTAAAGCGACATACTCGGCGGGTTTATATGCTTTAATGAAATAAATTTTCGGGCAGAGGGAAAGGAGTTTGTTGTGGCTGCGGTTGTGTGCGCCCATAAAATGGGTCAGGCTCGGAAGCTTTCCCAAGCCTTGCTTGCTGGTGAAGCCGAACCTGCCGCCGACCCTCCGCAGCTTCAGGACGCGGAGGCCCGGGAAGATGCAGGCATGATCCGGGATGTGCCGAGCTAAAGCAACACCTTCCATACTAAGACGAAGGAGGTTCGGAAGGTGCCAGGTTTGGAGAGAGAGGAGTACCAAGGGGGAGGCACGGGGGGACGAAGAGTAAGGGAACGAGGAACGTGTATGGGGGAAGTAGAGAGGAGGGAGGGTGTTAGTGTTAGTGTTAGTATGAGTGTGTGTTACAGATAATGCAAGCGGTAATGGGGTAGAGCAGACATAGAGGGACTGTAATGAGGGTGGGAGTGGGGAGCGGTCCTGTAGCACTGCAAGGGCTCCTAGTGAGAGAGTCAATAGCGAGGATAAGTGAGGGATGACCTGGTCTGGGTCTGAGGAGGCGAGGGGGAGGTGAAGGGTGGTGAGGTGGGGGGCGAGAGAGAGGAGAGAGGGAGGCACGGAGGAGCAGGCATGGAGAGAGATGTGGGTGAGGTGAGGAAAGGAGGAGAGGAGGGAGTGGAGGGAGTGATGTGAGGAAGCGAAGGTAGGGAAGGTAAGGAGATGACTACTGTTGTCTCGCTCATTGTCGTTATCATCATCACCATCACTATCACCATTACTAGTTGTGATGTGGTTGTGGTTCATCCGACGGCCACCGATGACCACGTCACGACCAATCGAAACGCCGGTCCCGACAGACACTGCAGCGCCAGCACCAGCACGAGCACCGGTACCATTCCTACCAAAACGTGCCGTTTCCATGACGCCATCTCGACCCCCAGCAGCAGCAGCAAGGGGAGGATTTGCGGTGAGCACTGGTGAGTGGAGACAGAGGGAGGTGAGGTGCAAGAGGGCGTGCAGGGAAGGTGGGGGCACAATGGGCAGGGAGGAGGAGAGGTGCAGTGAGCGGAGAGAGCGGTGCAGACCGGTGAAAATGTCTGGAGGGAGGACGAGAAGCTGCTGCTGCTGTTGCTGGTGCTGCCTCTGGTGATGGTACTGCTGCTGCTGCTGCTGCTGCTGCTGCTGCTCCACCGGGGGGTGCTGGTCCGATGGAGATGACTGAAGGCGAGTGAGAGCTTTGCTGACTGCTGCCTCGGGGCATGGAACCAGGTCCAGGCGGAGGCACGTGAGTGAGGAGAGGTTCTGGAAGGGACCAGGCGAGCACAGGGCTGCTGGGAGGCGCAGGGTTTGTGGGACTCTCAGGGCTGCTGAGACACTCAAGGCTGCTGCTGGCACGGTCAGTTGTTCGGCTGAAAAAGGAAGGTGTTGAACGGGACCAGTTGAGGGAGAGGTGTATTGCGGGTGTGGATGCGGGGAGAGGACGACAGAGAGTGTGAGAGAGAGGGAGGTGAGGGAGGGGAGGTGGAGGAGGAGGGAGGGAGGGAGGTGGAAGATTGGTGCAGAGAGTTGGGTGAGGGAGGAGAGGAGGGGGAGGAGGGAAGGGGAGGGGGAGAGGAAGAGGTACGTGTGTGTTGCTTGGAAGTTGAGTGAGCAGAGGTTCGGACATTTCCGAAGGACACGCTCCAGGCTCGGTGAGAGGTCCAGAACGGTGGACTGGGCTTCGTTTACTGTGAATGGAACGCTGTTACAACAGGTGCTCCTCTGCTGCTTGGGAGACTTGTTACAACAGGTGCTCTCTTGCTGCTCGTGATCCTGCTCTCCCCACTGCTCGCCCTGCTTCCCTTCCTGCACTTTCTTTCTCTCCCTCCTCTCCTCACTCTTCCTCTCTGCCCTCTTCCTCTCCCTCTTTTCCCTCTTACTCTCTCTCTGCTTCCCGCCTCCCCTCTCCTCCTTCCTCCCCACTGCTCTTCCACCCACTTTCCGGCCCATTCCCCCAACCCTTTCCTCTGCATCCTCATCCTCCCCTTCCCCACCTTCCGCTTGTCCCCCCAACTCCCCATCCCCTTCTCCCTTCCTTCCCTCCTGCCCACCCCCCTCTACCCCATTTCCCCTGTCCCTCTGCCAGCAGTCCAATTGTATGTGAAGGGTGCGTAGGTGAGGGGACAGAGCGGGAAGGGAGGAGGAGAGGAGGGAAGCGAGGTGAGAGGGGGAGGTGAGAGAGGGAGGGAGTGGGAGGAGGAGGGATGTGAGGTTGGGATAAGCGGAGAGAAGGAAAGGGAGGCGGTCGGGTGACCATGTTGGGTGGGAGGGGAGATGAAGGGGGATAGAGGAGGAAAAGAGGGAGAGGGGGGGAATGGAAGGGAGCGGGTAGGAGGAAAGGAGGGGGTGAGAGGGAGGGATACGCGATGAGGCACCAGGATTCAGGACCCTGGTTTCAATCTTGCTGCTGCTGCTGCTGCTGCCGCCGCCACCTCTGCTGCTGCTGTTACTTGTGGTTTTGCCTGAGCCATGATGTGTTATGATGATGCCATGTGATTCGATATGCCTTCCATCAAGAAGAGGCCACGACTGTAGGAGATTAATATCGTCCATAAACCAAGGCGTTGGATCTTGCGAACGGAGGCTGACGGAACTCGGGACGGAGGTTGACGGAACTGAACCGGACCATGACGAGTTACACGTCACACCCGGCTCCCACGGGTTCAGGAAACTACAGCCGCTGACGTCGCGGAAGAACGGCTGCCACGTCTGCGTTTCTAAGCAGAACACTAAAGAGAAGTGCGTCGTAGATTCTCGGAAGGTTCTGTGCCAGAGGCGGCAGACGAGGGAGGCGGAGATGGCGTCACGCGGGTGGGTGAGATGACGTAGGACGACAGCGAGACAGTCGCGGGCGAGGCGAGAAATCGGTGGGGAGCTATTTGGAATGGCTGGGTTATTTTCAGGAATGCCGTCCTTATACCCAGTGCAGTCATTTTTTACACCCGCAGGAATCCTGATACCATCAGGGTTATGTGCAACGCTTGAACCGCCAAGGGTGTTCATGTTGGTACTACAAGAATGGAAGTGCTTACACAGGAGGAGGAATTTTGAGGCGCCTAATACTCTATGTTGTGTTGAGATGAGTAGTGTTGTTTGTGCTGCGGAAACCAGCAGGAGCGACTATGCAGGTAGGGGTATTTACACGCATATGCACATTTCGCTGAAATAGTTTCTCTTATTCTAGCGGGGCAATTATTCACATCATCAGAGTCTAGTCATGGTTCCACTGGTAGGAGAAACAGCAGACAGTGTAGCTTCATTCCGCTGACTGACCGTACGAATCCTCCCTAACTAGGCATAGAAGTTGCAATGACAGCACTTGCAAAACAGCAGATACTGTACTAGCCAAGTGAAATGCTGTTGGTGCGAGTCTCAACTGAAACCAAATTGCACAAGTTTTAAAATCATGACGAGAGGGGGTTTTACTGGTTTGGGTTTTGGCGAGTGTTTCCGATTTCGCGAAATTCGTTTTTGTTTTTCGCCAAACCTAGCCAGCCCCGCGTTTTGACCCTGGTGGGTGTGTCAGACTTCGGAAGTCCCAAATTGCAGCTGCGGTACTTTTCAAAGCTTGCACAGCCCACTTCGTCAAGTTTTAAATACTTGACCCGCGCGGTTCGCAATTTGGGCCGCGGGTTTTAAGTCGCAGGGATCGTAGCCGTATTGAAGATGTTTTCATCACCGGAACACGCACCTCGGCACGTTTCAAGGCGGACGAGCACGAACATTGTTACCCTTCTCGCTCAGTTTCGATTTGCGACATCGAAACCAGTTACTGTATCGAATTGGGATTGGACACGGGATTTGACAAGCGATCGAGAAACGAACCAGAAACAAAAGCCGATGTGTGCACCCCCTGTGTCTCCCTTTTTGTGTCGCCCTGTCCCCCTTGTGTCCAGTAACACGAACCAGCACCCGTTGATCCAATTGATATAAGCCATAGATCCCCCTCCATCCTCCACACCGCCACGCACATTCTTTCACCTGCTCAAACACCTGTTTCCAACCTTGGAAGTCTCGTGAGTAGACTAGGGAGCTAGTCTCGACGCAATCATCTCCAGTCTCGTCACTTCTCCATAAGAACGAGACTCGTGAGGCAAAATATAGTTTCCCTCCAGGTCTCGCGCCTCGTGCACTTGCGACTCGTGCGCTTCCGCGTCGATCACTTGCGACGCGTGCATGGACATGGCCACGTCGTTCGCTTTGCGCTTCCCAGCGACCGACACGTGGCACGGCTTGGCGCGCTTGCCGCGATGGTCTGGTCGGCGACGCTCGTCGCACGGTAGCACGTTCCCGTCGCCAGTCGATCGCGTAATTAGTAACGGCGTATACTTTCGCACACACTCTCCGCGCTCCCCGCAAGCGATCACTCGCCAGGTTCTCGCGTCGTCGTTTGCCCGCCCAGCACGTCCGCAAATTGCGCCGTCTCTCCCGCCCGCACGCGCTATTGGGGGATCAGTGCAGCAAGCTCGGCGCGCGCTAAGCTCCGTTCCGCTTGCTCTGGGGGGGACAGGGTTAGGCGCGCGGGAAGTTGGCGGAAGATTGTTGCGTGGCTTGGATCATCCGTCGAGGCAGCAGTGCCGCGCAATCGCGGGTAAGGAGGGGAGAGGGGGAGGGGGGGAGTTTGGGTGGAGGGGAGTGCAGAGCGGTCAGGAGGGGTATAGCAAGGGCAAGGAATGGTGAAGTGAGGTAAGGAAGCATAATTCGGGACACGCGGGCGGGAGCAGGGCAGGAGCACGTGGGCGGGGCACGCGGGGTGCAAAGCAAAGCTCAACCCCTTGTATCCTGCTTCTCCCTTTCTCTGCTCTCTTTCATTCCCAAGCGGCCCAGCATTCTCAGCAGTGGAGGAGGGCGAGCAGTACGATGTGATCGTGATAGGGGCGAGCGGGGCACGCAGGGTGCGAAACAAGGCTCAAACCTTTGCTTCCTGTTTTTTCCGTTTCTCCTCTCATTTCAGGCAGTGCTTCCTTCTCATCGGTAGAGGAGGGCGAGCAGTACGATGTGATCGTGACAGGCGCGGAGCATGCGGGGTGCAAAGCCCAACCACGTGTTCCCCGAATCCCTCCTTCTGCTATCCATTCCCAGGCAATCCCTCGTTCTCATCGATGGAGGAGGGCGAGCAGTACGATGTGATCGTGATAGGGGCGGGGCACACAGGCTCAACCTTTTGTTCTCTGCTTCTTCCCTTCTTCTCCTAACCATTCTCAGGTGGCCCAGCATTCTCAGCAGTGGAGGAGGGCGAGCAGTACGACGTGATCGTGATAGGGGCGGGCCATGCGGGATGTGAGGCAGCGTTGGCATCCGCCAGGCTGGGCGCCAGGACGCTGCTGCTCACTCTCTCGCTTGACAAGATCGCATGGCAGGTGGGTGAGATGGTCAAGTCAAGGGTTTCGGGTTCAAGGGTTCTGAGCTGGGTACAAGGTAAGTCAGGGGTGCGAGGCAGCGTTGGCATCCGCCAGGCTGGGCGCCAGGACGTTGCTGCTCACTCTGTCCCTCGACAAGATTGCATGGCAGGTGGGTGGGTGGGTGGGTGAATCCAGGGATTTTGAGGTGGGTCCAAGCTGAGTCAGGGGTGCGAGCGAGGCAGCACTGGCGTCGGCCAGGCTGGGCGCCAGGACGCTGCTGCTCACACTCTCCCTCGACAAGATTGCATGGCAGGTGGGTGGGTGGGTCGAATGAGGGGTTCTGAGCTGCTGGGTACAAGGTAAGTCAGGGGTGCGAGCGAGGCAGCACTGGCATCCTCCAGGCTGGGAGCCAGGACGCTGCTGCTCACTCTGTCGCTTGACAAGATCGCATGGCAGGTGGGTATGTTGGTGCATGGGCAGCAAATGGGTGGGTGAGTTCAAATCAAAACTTCTGAGCTGCTGGGTCCAAGCAAAGTCAGGGATGCGATGCAGAGTTGGCATCCGCCAGGGTGGCTGGGCGCCAGGACGCTGCTTCTCGGTCTCTCGCTTGACAAGATAGCGTGGCAGGTGGGTCCAAGTGTCCCAGCCCAGTGGGTTTGGTGCATGGATAAAATGGAAGCATGGTGTGACAGGGGCGAGGCATGCTGGGTGTGAGTGAGGCAGCACTGGCATCAGTCAGGCTGGGCGCTGCTGCTGACTTTCTCTCTCGACAAGATAGCGTGGCAGGTGGGTGGTGGAAGCTAGGCGTGTGGGTTGGTTGGTTGGTTTGCATGGCAGGGGGATTGGGCGTTCATGGGCCAGTCAGGTCAGGTTGGGAGCCAAGGCGCGGTGGGGTGGGGCCAAGGCTGTAAACGCTGCTGCCAACACCTGTCACTAGACAAAACAAAACTTGCATGGCGGATGGTCTGTTTTTGAGTCGACTCAAAATTAAAAACAGACTCATCACACGCGTTTTGAGTCGACTAAAAATTAAAAACAGACTCATCACACGCGTTTTGAGTCGACTCAAAATGAAAACAGACTCATCACACGCGTTTTGAGTCGACTCAAAATTAAAAACAGACTCATCACACGCGGTAGGGGCAGGCCTGGAAACGTGGCTGCCAACACCTGTCACTAGGCATAACTCGCATGGCAGATGCTTTTACTGGTCTTGCTTCTCGGGGTCCAAGGGTTGAGGTCTCAGGGTATAGGGTTTAACCCTCAGACTGTTGAGTCGGTAGAAAAAAAGCAGTTGGTATTCCGGTCTTGGTTCCTCCTGAGGACGAAGGGTACAGGTATCAGGGCAGGGTTTTGCTTGTGCTTAACCCTCAGGCCGTACTGCCACGGATAACTTCCAGAGTGGGTGCTGGACTGGAGGCCCTTCAATTTTACCGAGAAAAGGCCCTTGGAAGGAGAGGGATTTTTTACTTGGATCGTGTTTGTTCATTGGCGCTCTTTGTTCAGAGCCAGAGTGGGTGCAGCAAATCCGCAACTCCCAATTCTGTACCAAGATACCATCCCCATGCCATTATTCCCGTTCCCAGAGTCCTTGCCTTGTCTTCCCATTGGCAGCTATTGATGCATGAGCCTGGTGTCTCGATGGCCCTCGTCCCCTGCTCCCCATCCCACACCACACCCCTCTTTCTTCCCCACTTCTTCCAGACGTGCATCCCAGCATGGGGGTTCTGGCCAAGTCGCAGCTTGTTGTGCTTGTTAGTTATTTTCTTCCCTCATGGCTTTCATTTCCCTCCATTCCTCCTCCCCCTTCCCGCTCTTCATTCAGTTCCTCCACTCCTCCCCGTTCCTTCCTCTTGCCCCACCCTCCTCTTCTGCAGCCGTACAACATGACTTTTGAGTCGACTCAAAAGTCACTCCACCCCGTTCCTTCCTCTTGCCCCACCCTCCTCTTCTGCAGCCGTGCAACCCAGCAGTGGGGGGAGGGGTCCCTCCAAGTCACAGCCAGTGCATGAGATGAGACAGACGTCTTGGTTTTTGCAGCAGTGGGGGTGGGGGGTCCCGCCCGCCCCTCCAAGTCACAACTGGTGCATGACACGAGACAAGACGACCAGCAATGACATGAGACGAGGCAGGCGTGGTTGCTTCCCTCGTCCCCTCCCCCCCCACCATCCCCTTCTCCCCTACCCCTCGCGCCTTCCCTCCCCTTCTGAAGCCGTGCAACCCGGCAGTGGGGGGACCAGCCAAGTCACAGCTGGTGCATGAGACAGTCATCTTTCTTTCCCTCGTCCCCTCTTTCCTTACTCCCCCACCCTTCCTTACCTTCCTCCCCCCCATCCCCTGCAGCCGTGCAACCCGGCAGTGGGGGGACCAGCCAAGTCACAGCTAGTGCATGAAACAGACGCTCTGGGGGGGGAGATTGGCAGGATGACGGACAGGTGAGCAGGCAGGTGGGTATGCTTTCAAGGCACCTGAGCGAGTACTCGTTTCATCGGGCGAGTATTCGTTTTACTCGACCCGTCTCGTTCCTCATATGTGAGGCAAGTTAAAACAAGGCAAGGAATGCTCGGCTTGTTGCTTGCTCATGCCATGCCTACGCCATGCTATGCAATGTTATTCTATGCTCGCCTTGGCTGTGCTGCTCATCTTCTCATTAGCAGACAGAGGCATGTGCTCGACCAGTTACAAGGGTCAGCATAATCGACAAGTCACAAGCCTCTACTCCGCACCCCCATTCCCCCACCTCCAATTCAACCACCCCTTACCCTCCTCGCCACCCCTTACCCTCCTCGCCACCATTACCCTCCTCGCCACCCCTTACCCTCCTCGCCACCCCTTACCCTCCTCGCCACCCCTTACCCTCCTCGCCACCCGTTACCCTCCTCGCCACCCCTTACCCTCCTCGCCACCCCTCATCTACCCCCTTAGAGGTGCTATGTGCAGGAACGTGTGTGTTCATCCAGTCGGGGGGGGCAGTGGTGTGGGCTTTTAAGGACCACCAGAAACAATAAATCCCCACTCCACACTCCCCATTCTAGCCTCACCCCTCCCACCCCTCCCCACCCATCCCCACCCGTCTCCACCCCTCCCCACCCCTCTCCACCCCTTCCCGCCCCTCTGCTACCTGCAGGTGCTACGTGCAGAAGCGCGTGCTCAACCGGTCGAGGGGGCCAGCAGTGTGGGCTTTAAGGGCGCAGACAGACAAGCGGGAGTACAGCGAGGAGATGCGCAAGGTGGTGGAGAAGTGAGTGGGGGGAGGGGGATAGAATTGGCAGGAGCATTGGGATGGAAGGCTCTCAGAGATTGGGGTATGGGATGCAGAGCAGAGCACAGATGGACAAGCGGGAGTACAGCGAGGAGATGAGGAAGGTGGTGGAGAAGTGAGTGGGGGGGGTGGTGAAAGGGGTGGGATGCGGTATGTAGGTATAGGGTATTATGGTGAGTGAGAGGGTTTGGCAAGGTGCAACCAGTGGTGTGGTGTGGGCGCTGAGAGCACAGGCCGACCTGTTTATTTTCCTACCTCTCCAGCACGCCCGCCATGGAGACAGAGCTCATAGTAGTGGGGTGGGTGGGCCCCAACGACAGTGTGCAGGGCGTGAGTGTTGCGAGTAGCACCCCTCCGCGACTCTACCCCTCTCCTTCCCCAGCACGCCTAATTTGTTTATCCGAGAAGCCATGGCAACGGAGCTGATAGTGGGCCCCAACGAGTCTGACAACAGTCTGTCTGCGCTCCCCCCCCCCCCACTTCAACCCCCCTGTCCCCCCAGCACGCCCAACCTGTTCATCCGAGAGGCAATGGCAACGGAGCTCATAGTGGGCCCCAACGACAACGTGCAGGGCGTGCGGACGTTCTTTGGGGTGGACTTTCTGGCTAAGGCTGTCGTGCTCACCACAGGTGGGTGGGTGTTGGTGAGTACAGGCGAGTAGGTGGTGGGAGAAGCTGAGTGCTCTTAGAGGTACTGACTGAGCCGCTACGTGCAGGGCGTGCGGACGTTCTTTGGGGTGGATTTCCTGGCCAAGGCTGTTGTGCTCACCACTGGTGGGTGGTTGGTTTGTGGGTGGATGGTGGTGAGAGCAGCTGTGAGCTCACCAAAGCTGCGTGGGAAAAAGTTGCAAGCTTGTGCCAACGCAACAGTTGGTTCTTAAGAATTATTGAAAACCAGTCAACCGGTGCCGTGCCACGTATGGTGTTGGGGGGTTGCACTCGAATTGCTTTCCGGGTCGAAATACCTCCTATAGCAGCAGGGCGAGCAGGGGAAGAACCCTCGTCTTCACAGCCCAACAACACAGCACAACACCCGTTCTCTCCCTCGACTTTGATTCTTTATCTCTTCTCCACCTCTCCCTCCCCGACCTCCCAGCCGGCACATTCATGAATGGTCGCATTTGGGTGGGCAGGAAATCTTTCGCAGTAGTCAGAGCATGGGCAGGGCGTCTTTCACAGCCTCACCCAACACAACGCCTCCTTTCCTTCGGTCGAATCCCTCCTTTCCCCTCGTTTCCCCCCTCTTCCTTATCTGCCTGTCTCCAAGCAATATGGGTGGGCATACAATCTCTCCCAGCAGGCAGAACTGCTGAGGTTGCATCCCATGTAGACATGAGCAACGAGCGAACCGAACACGTTTGACTCGAACAGTTTTCCTAAATGTCAATGTTCCCTGTTCGAGAATAGGGTCGAACAGTTTTGAGGCAAGGCCGAACACTAAGGTGTTTGACCCGAACTCTAACAGTTTGCCTTGGTGGGTATGTTCAGTATAGTCACATCCAGAGCATGTAAAAAAATCAGGCCAGGTGTACTACAAACAATATCACGATGTAATGAAAGAGCGAAGATCAATAATGCTGCGCACTCAAGGTCTAGTCAAAGATGGATAAATAAGTCAACGGGCAACATGTCAATGGCAAGGTCAAGTCAAGGACATGCAAAACTAAACCTGATAGCCCACCAAGTCTTCATGCAACTCTCCCAACCCCCCCTACTCCTGCCACAGCAACAGCCGCCTCCTCATCCCCCTTGTAGAGCCCCTCTCCCTCCAGCGCCAACTCTGGTGGTGCCTGCTCACCACTGCGTCTGGACCCTCTCCCCTCATAATTTGACGTGCTGGTCTCGAACCCAAAGTGTTCGCGATGAACACTTTGGGAACTCTAACACCTTGGTGTTCGAGTGTTTTTGTGCTTGCGAACACTCGAACACTCGAACGTGTTCGGGACGAAAAAAAACCAACTGTTCGGTTCGACTCGAACAGGTGTTCGAATTTTTTTCTCATGTCTAATCCCATGTCCTAACTGAACTGAACACCTCCACTCCCTTGGCTTTGAATTCCTTCCTCTTTCCCTTCATCTCCACCCCATACACCTTCCTCCAGGAACCTTCACGAATGGTCGCATCTAGGTGGGCAGGCAGTCCCTCCCTGCAGGCAGAGCAGGGGAAGGCGCCTCCCATGGCCTCACCAAGTATCTATGATCTCTCGGCTTCGTATCCCTCCCCTCCTTCCATCCATCTCCTTTTCTTTCTCCTGACATTCCATCTTTCCCCTCATTTCCTCTATCTTCCTCCAGGCGCCTTCATGAACAGTCACATCTGTATAAAGACAGTCCCTGCCAGCAGGCAGGGCAGGGGAAGGAGCCTCCCACGGCCTCACAGAGTACCTCCTCTCCCTCACGGCTTCCAATTTATCCTTCCTTTCTGCATCTCATCTCCTCCCCATCCCCCTTCCTTCAGGTACATTCATGAACAGTCGCATCTGGGTGGGAAGGCAATCTCTCCCAGCAGGCAGGGCAGGTGAGGGTGCCTCCCACGACCTTACAGAGCGGTTTCAAATCCCTCCTACTTTCCTTCATGTCATCTGTACCCCCGTTCTCCACTCCAGGTACATTCATGGATGGGAGGATCTGGGTGGGAAGACAGTCCCTCCCAGCAGGCAGAGCAGGGGAAGGCGCCTCCCACGGCCCCGCCAAACTTTGGAGTTGACTCGGCCTCCCACGGCCCTGCCAAGTCACAGGGCAGGGGTGGGCGCATACCACGGCCTCCCTGAACACCTCCTCTCCCTTGGCTTCGAATCCTTCCTCTTTTCCTTCATGTCATCTGTACCCCCGTTCTCCACTCCAGGTACATTCATGAACGGAAGAATTTGGGTGGGAAGGCAATCCCTCCCGGCAGGCAGAGCAGGGGAAGGCGCCTCCCACGGCCTCACAGAGTGCCTCCTCTCCCTCGGCCTTGATTTGCTCCCTTCTTATCCCTTCCCTATCGACCAGGTACCTTCATGAACGGCCGTATCCGGGTGGGAAGACAATCCCTCCCAGCAGGCCAAGCAGGCGAGGGCGCCTCCCACGGCCTCACAGAGTACCTGTTATCCCTCGGCTTTGATCTCCTTCCTCTTTTCCTTCATCTCCTCTCCATCCCCCCTCCTCTCTTCTAGGTACCTTTATGAACGGCCGAATTTGGGTGGGCAGGCAGTCCCTACCAGCAGGCCGAGCAGGGGAAGGCGCCTCCCACGGCCTAACAGAGTACCTCCTCTCCCTCGGCTTCGAATCCGACCGTCTAAAAACCGGCACGCCGCCGCGGATCGACATCCGGACCGTCGATTTCTCCCGGTTGGAGGAGCAACCAGGCGACGATCCTGAGGGGGGGGGCGGCGTGGGGGAGCGGTGGTTCAGCTTTGATGAGAGCGTGTGGAGGAGGAGGGAGCAGATGAGCTGCTGGTTGACCAGAACTACCAGTGAGACCCATCGGCTGGTGGAGGCAAGCCTGCATGAGACGCCCACTTATGGCGGCTGGGTGGACGGGCGTGGACCCCGCTACTGCCCGAGTATTGAGGATAAGGTGAGGGGGGAAGGCGGGTGGTATGTTTGTGTGTGTGTGCGCGTGTGTGTGTGCGCGCGTGCGTGTGTGCATGTCTGCGTGTGGAGGAGGAGGGAGCAGATGAGCTGCTGGTTGACTCGCACTACCTGTGAGACCCATCGGCTGGTGGAGGCGAGCGTGCATGAGACGCCCACTTATGACGGCTGGGTTGACGGCCGCGTCTCGCGCTACTGCCCCAGTATCGAAGACAAGGTGAGGCCGTGTGTGTGCGTGGGTGCGTGCGTGCTTACATGTGTACGAGTGGTTCAGCTTTGATGAGGGCGTGTGGAGGAGGAGGGAGCAGATGAGCTGCTGGTCGACTCGCACGACGCAAGATACCTATCGGTTGGTGGAGGCGATTTTGTATGAGACGCCCACTTATGGCGGCGGCTGGGTGGACAGGCACGGGCCGCGCTACTGCCCGAGTATCGAAGACAAGGTGAGGAGGGGGAATGGGGATGGGTGCTATGTGTGCGTGTGTGCGCGTGCGCGCGCCTGTGAGTGCGTGTAACTGTGCGAGTTGTGTGTGAGAGAGAGAGGGCATGTGGTGGCGGAGGAAGCAGCTGAGTGGCTGGTTGACTTGCACGACCAGTGAGACCCTCGCTCAGCCGCTCGCCCTCACTCGTACCTCGCATCACATATTGGTATGGCTTTTGAGAATTCTCAAAACCCTCGCTCAGCCGCTCGCCCTCACTCATACCTCGCATCACTCCATCAGCACCTCAGCGTGGGCTGTCCCCTCCTTTTTCCCTACACTGCCTGCTTGTTTGCACAGATAGTACGGTTCAAGCACAAGGAGTCACACCAGATCTTCTTCGAGCCCAATGTCTGAGTCGCCTCACAAGTCACCTCCTCTGCACCCCTGCTGCCCCTTTCTTCCCCATGCTGCCCCTCCCCCCCGCTTCTTGATTGCTCCCACACACAGATAGTACGATTCAAGGACAAGGAGTCACATCAGATCTTCCTTGAGCCCGAGGGCCGAACCGTGCCAGAGCTCTACGTGCAGGTGGGTGGTGGTTGGGGTGGGTGGTGTAGGGGGGAGGGGGGGGTTGCACATGAGCCCAGGGTTTAGGAGCAGGGAAGAAGAAACCATGCCAGAGCCCATGGGCCGAACCGTGCCAGAGCTTTTTTTGAGGCACCTTAAAGCCACAGCTCTACGTGCAGGCGGGTGTGGTGTGGGTGGGTGGGCGTGGGTGGTGGAGGTGAGTCGGGGGGGGGAGGTGGGGAGAGAGGGGGGGGGGGAGTGAAGAACAACAAACCAAGCCAGAGCCTGAGGGGCGAACCGTGCCAGAGCTTTACGACCAGGTGGGTGTGGGTGGGTGGGTGGTGGAGGGAGGTGAGTGCAGCTGGCATACCTGCGCTATGCCATACTGAGGCATGATTTTTGCCGTGATGGAGTATGACCACCTGCTGCCTGCCTGCCTGCCTGCTTACCCACCTCTCTGCTGTCCTTCTCCCCTCCCTCCCCTTGTTCCAGGGATTCTCCACGGGCCTGCCAGAACGACTTCAACTAGCCCTGCTGCGCTCCCTCCCGAGCTTGGAGCGCTGTGCCGTGCTGAGACCCGCATACACAGTGGAGTATGACTACATGCCGGCTTACCAGTGCCGTATCTTTCTCTCGTTTACCCATCCACACCCCTCTACACCCCTCTGCACCCCATCATCCTCCAGGGATTCTCCACGGGCCTACCTGAGCTCTTCAACTAGCCTTACTCCGCTCTCTCCCGAGCCTTGAGCACTGTGCCATGCTGAGACCTGCCTACACAGTGGAGTATGACTACCTAATGACTGCCTGCTTATCCACCCGTGTGCTGCCTCTCTTCCCTCCCATTCTATCAGGGATTCTCCACAGGCCTACCAGAACGCCTGCAGCTGGCCCTTCTCCGCTCTCTCCCCGGCTTGGAGCGCTGTGCCATGCTGAGACCCGCTTATGCAGTGGAGTATGACTACCTGCCCGCCTACCAGTGCCAGCGCACACTCATGACAAAGAAAATTGAAGGGCTGTTCTTCAGCGGGCAGATCAACGGCACCACGGGCTATGAGGAGGCTGCTGCTCAGGTGGGCAGGCAGGCAGGTTGTGTGTGCATGCACCCTTGCTTTGTTTCCATTTGTACACATGGTCCGATGTGTGAGTGAGTGTGCTCATGCACCACCACCAAGAGGATTGGAGGGCTGTTTTTCAGCAGCCAGATCGATGGCACCACGGGCTATGAGGAGGCTGCTGCTGCTCAGGTGGGTAGGCAGGCAGAACTTATACTTGCACATTCCAGCCATGCGTGCGTGTTCTCTATGCCATGCTGAGGCCTGCCTATGCAGTGGAGTATGACTACCTGCCGGCATAACAGTGCCAGCGCACACTCATGACGAAGAAAATTGAAGGGCTGTTCTTCAGCGGTCGGATCAACGGAACCACGGGCTACGAGGTGGCTGCTGCTCAGGTGGGTAGGATTCCTGTGCTGATACTCACCTTCAGCATTACATATGTTCGAGCCCAAATGTGCGCACGCTCATGACCACCAAGCAGGTTGAAGGGCTGTTCCTCAGCGGGCAGATCAACAGCACGGCACCACGGGCTACGAGGTGGCTGGGTGGGTAGGTAGACCGTAGAATCGTCAGCACCTGCGTGCATGTGCTGAAATGTGTGCACTCTGTTTCTGAGGAGCGTAAATAATCGCCTCACTTCACTTCACGCAGAAGCAGCACCTGCATGTGTGTTGACCTTGAATGCGCGTTGAAAGGAATGCCGGATTTGAGGGCCCTACAAGGGTCTATGCTTTCACTTTGCCCATCAATCGGCTCCTCCGCTTGCAACCGTTCTCTTCCCCTTTTGTTGCAGGGGCTGATTGCGGGGATCAACGCGGCCAGGCTGGCGGACGGGAAGGTGGTGTGGTGCTGCCACGATTGGTGCATGGAGGACATGAGTGTTGATCCGAGTCCCTTGCATCCGTGCCTCTTTCTCGTTGCAGGGGCTGATTGCGGGGATCAACGCGGCCAGGCTGGCGGATGGGAAGGTGGTGTGGTGCTGCCACGATTGGTGCATGGAGGACATGAGTGTTGATCCGAGTCCCTTGCATCCGTGCCTCTTTCTCGTTGCAGGGGCTGATTGCGGGGATCAACGCGGCCAGGCTGGCGGATGGGAAGGTGGTGTGGTGCTGCCACGATTGGTGCATGGAGGACATGAGTGTTGATCCGAGTCCCTTGCATCCGTGCCTCTTTCTCGTTGCAGGGGCTGATTGCGGGGATCAACGCGGCCAGGCTGGCGGACGGAAAGCCGCTGATTGCGCTTGAGAGGGAGAGCAGCTACATCGGCACGCTGATCGATGATTTGGTGACCAAGGACCTGAGGGAGCCGTACCGCATGCTGACCAGGTAGGTCCAATGGTGGGGTTTGGTGGTAGACTTGAGGGACTTGAGGGACCTGAGGGACCTGAGGGACCTGAGGGACCTGAGGACCTGAGGGACCTGAGGACCTGAGGACCTGAGGGACCTGAGGACCTGAGGACCTGAGGGACCTGAGGACCTGAGGACCTGAGGACCTGAGGGAGCCATAGAGCATGCTCACCAGGTAGGGAAGTGTAGAAACAGACAGGTAACTGCTGATTGGGAGAGAAGCTACATGGGCACTCTTATTGATGACTTGGTGACCAAGGATCTGAGGGAGCCGTACCGCATGCTCACAAGGTAGGGTTCTAAGGGAGAGATGGTGCGAGCGCTGCAAGGCTCGAGAAGGGGAGCAGCTACACGGGCACTCTGATCGATGATTCTGTGACCAAGGACCTGAGGGAGCCATACCACATGCTGACAAGGTAGGGTTCGAAGGGAGAGATAGTGCGAGCGCTGCAAGGCTTGAGAGGGGGAGCAGCTACATCGGCACCCTGATTGATGATTTGGTGACCAAGGATTTGAGAGAGCCGTACCGCATGCTCACCAGGTAGGTCTAATGGTGGGGTTTGGTGGTAGAAAGTGTGCGTGCGGTATAGTATAGAGCTTTGAGTCGACTCAAAACACGTGCGGTACGGTGCGGTGCAGTGCGTGATTTCTGGTGTGACTGCTGCGAGGCTTAGCTGGGTGAGCAGCTACATGGGCACTCTGATTGATGACTTGGTGACCAAGGACCTGAGGGAGCCATACCGCATGCTCACCAGGTAGGGGATAGGCTAAGCATGTGGTGACTACATTGTGCTTGAGAGGGAGAGCAGCTACATTGGCACTCCCATTGATGACATAATGACCAAGGATTTGAGAGAGCCATACTGCATGCTCACCAGGTAGGACTAATGGTGGGGTGGGGTTTGGTGGTAGAAGGCATGTGTACAATGCAATGCAGTGTGTGATTTTTGGTGTGCCCGCTGCAAGGCTCGAGAGGGAGAGCAGCTACATGGGCACTCTGATTGATGATTTGGTGACAAAGGATTTGAGAGAGCCGTACAACATGCTGACAAGGTAGGGTTTCAGGGGAGGGATGGCGGGGCTTTGACGGCAGGAGAGAGGGAGAGCAGCTTCCTTGGCACCTTCCTTTTTAATGATGAGCGGTGACCAGATACTGGAGGTGGCACCTTCCCTCCCTTGTTCCACGTTGGGGATTCAACTCTTTTCCCTCCCTTGTTCCACGTTGGGGATTCAACTCTTTTCCCTCCCTTGTTCCACGTTGGGGACTCAACTCTTTTCCCTCCCTTGTTCCACGTTGGGGATTCAACTCTCTTCCCTCCCTTGTTCCACGCCACCTCACCTCACCGTTCCGCTCCCTCCCCTCCAGTCGTTCAGATTTCCGGCTGCTGCTGCGGTCAGACAATGCAGACGTGCGGCTGACCCCAATGGGGCGGGACATAGGGCTCATTGATGACCGCTGGTGGGGATTCAGCTCCCCTCTTCTCCTCCATCGCCCTTTATTTGACCCTACCATTCTCATCCTTCCCTGTGCCTGTGCCCTCCCCTCCAGTCGTTCAGAGTTCCGGCTGTTACTGCGATCGGACAATGCAGACGTGCGGCTGACACCCATGGGGCGCGAGATCGGGCTAATTGACGACCGCCGGTGGAGCATGTATCTGGCGAGGCAGGCACGGATGGACGCTGAGAAGGAGAGGCTCAAGCGGTACAAGCTGGCAGGTAGGGTTGGGGCGTGGGGGCACAAAGCACATATGTATGAGATCTGAAATTCATGTGGCTCTTTGGCATGTTGCGGTGGGTACGGCACTCCATTGGATCGAATCCTCCACCTTTTTGCTCCTGCTCTGCATTTTCTGCTTTGTAAGTCGACTCAAAACGCGTGTGGTGCTTTGGCATGTTGCGTTGGGGGTGGGTGCGGCATTTTACTGGATCACATCTTCCACCTTTCGAGTCAACTCAAAAGGTTTATCAAATCCTCCACCTTTTTGCTCCTCCTCTGCATTTTCTGTGTGTCGGTTTCCCGATGCAAACTCCCCCTCCCCCCCTTTTCCCCCCTTTTCCTCCCCCCTCCTGCTCCTCATCCCCAGCCTCGCACCTGGCCATCCCAGCAATAGAGGAACTGTCAGGCTCAGTGCGGCACGACACAACGCTGGATCAAATCCTCCGCCTACTTGTATCCACTCTGCATTTCCTTCGCCACTCCCCGCCCGTTCGTTTTTTCCTTACGTTGCCTTTACCCCCACCCAGCCTCGCATCCAGCCATCCCAGCAATAGAGGAGTTGTCAGGCACAGTGCGGCACGGCACAACGCTGGATCAAATCCTCCGCCGCCCGCACGTCACCTACCGCCTCTTCAGAGACCACCACCTCATGGGCGCCCCTACCCCCCTCTCCTCCTCCTCTGGTTCGGAAAGTTGTTCGGAAAGTGGTTCAGAAAGTGGTTCGGAAGGTGGTTCGGAGGCGGTGGGGGAGTGGGGAGACGGAGGGGCGGTGGTGTCGGCATGGGAGGCGGAGTGTGTGGAGGTGGAGTTGAAGTATGAGGGGTTCATCCAGAGGCAGAAGCAGCAGCTGGAGCAGGTGGTAGCCAAGGAGCACCGCCGCATTCCCGAGGACATTGACTACGACTCGATTGCCACCGTCTCCAAGGAGGCCCGTGAGAAGCTCACCAAGGTACGTGCCTGTAACAACTATCTTTTGAGTCGACTCGAAAGCCAAGGAGCACCGCCGCATTCCCGAGGACATTGACTACGACTCGATAGCCACTGTCTCCAAGGAGGCCCGCGAAAAGCTCTCCAAGGTACATGCTTGTCATGACTATCTTTTGCCTTTCGTGCTTTCTTTCTTCTGATTCCACCCCCCCAATTCTAGTGATGTAACCAGTGCATGTTGTCATGATGCTACCAGTGCATGCATGTGCACCGCCTTGTATGATACTTCATGCTGGCTTGTCCCCGTTCTCCACTATCTCTGGTAATGTGCCAGGAAGAGGACGCACAGATGGGGCTCGGACAACGCGCACACGTGCGGGAATTTGTGTGCACATGATTACGCACGTGTACTCTTGTTCTCTTATTCCCCCTCATATGTTGACTCCCACCTGCTGTCTTGCTGCAGATTCGCCCAGCCACCATCGGGCAAGCCTCTAGACTGGGCGGAGTTAACCCTGCTGACATCACGGCTCTGCTCATTTTCCTGGAAGTACAGCGCCGAAAGAAACAGACAGCAAACGGAACCGTACCAAGTCGGCCTAGTGGTGTGGGCAATGGTGGCATTGATGGCGGTGCACTAATGTCGATTGAGCCAGCGGTTGCAGTTGCAGATGCAGATGGTTGATCTTGATTGGAGGCGGAAGTGACGGTGTGGGCAAACAGACAAAAATATATGTGTTACGAGTGCAATTGAGCGAGCGAGCGAGAATTGCACTATCGAAGCAAAACAATACGTTGAGCGAAGACATGAGTGAAGAATATATAGCGAAGCTAGTGGTAACAGTATTGCGTGAAAATGGGGTGCGCGACGGGCCTAGCGCCGAGGTTGGGATTTGTCGAGGCGGAGGTCCGGAGCGCGGGTTACCAATCGAACCGTGAGGTTGGGTCGCGCCGTGAACAGTGGCGGGAGCAGTAGTCGAGGCGAGTGTCGCGAGTGGTAACGGTTTACTTTTGGGTGCTGTTGGCGGGAACAGTGGTGTACGCGCTGAGCAGGGACGCGAAGGTATTCGGTGAGGACAGGGTGGTTTTCGATTCTGTCCAGGGGAACCCAATCATCTTCGGTGGGCGTGCGGTCTCTCCAATGGATCAGGAATTCGATTCTGCAGGCTCCACTGTCAAATGTTTTTATCATCTAGATATTGTTAGTTATTCTAGGTTACACTGAGCTGCCCTCTAAAGGGTACAACACTTTCTAGGTCGACACTTGTATCTCGTTTCTCCCACTCACTCCACTCAATTCTCCCGACACTTGTTCCTAGCCTATTTTCAGATGGTACGGTATTAGAGTAGGTAATTTTTCTCCCTCCCACGCTTCCGCTCCCTCCCTTAGCCGGTCCCGAGGCGCCCGTCCCTTAGGCTCCGTTTTGTCGCGGGTAGGACGGCCCCCTCGGGCCTTGTTTTTGTCGCGTTCAAAGCCCCCCGGGGGCCTCGTTTTTCGTCGCGTTTAAAGGGCCCCGCTGGCCCCTCGTTTCGTCGCGCTCCATAAGGGACTCCCCCCGCAGGCCCGCGTAGTCGTGCTTAGCCCGCAACAGCCGCGTGTGCACGCAGCAGGCACACACGCACCAGCAGCAGCAGCGCGCGCATTAGCCAGCGGCAGCCGCGCACGCCACTGCAGCACACGCATTGCAGCAGCAGCGCTCGCTTTGCTGCAGCAGCGCGTGCATTGCTGCAGCAATGCGTACATTGCTGCAGCAGCACGGCTAGGCAGCAGCGCGTGTTACTGCAGCAGCACAGCTAGGCAGCAGCGCATGTTACTGCAGCAGCACGGCTAGGCAGCAGCTAGCCGCCAGCAGCTCGCCGCCAGCAGCAGCTAGCCGCCAGCTAGCCCCTCCCACCCGCCCACAGTCCCTTTCAACCGCTCACAGCCCCTTCCAACCACTCACAGCCCCTTCCAACCGCTCACAGCCCCTTCCAATCGCTCACAGCCCCTTCCAACCGCTCACAGCCCCTTCCAACCGCTCACAGCCCCTCATCACGCGCGCACACCAACCAGGACCACCCGACCTCCGTTGGTTCGACACTCGCGTCACTCATACTCACAGTGTTTCGCACCGTCGCGGATGGAGGCCGCTCCACTAAGCTGTTTAGGCTAGTCCTGGCGTTCGTTGTTAGCTAGGTCTCTCATCGCTCCGCCAGCCCCTCGAACGACTCTCCAGCTCCTCGATCGGCTCGTCAGCCCTGCCTCCTCCAGCCGTCTGCTCCTAGCTCAGCTAGCTCCCAGCTCCGTTCGTTACTAGACTGGCGTTCCTAGCTCAGTTTTCCTCCGTGCTCCAGCAGTACCTCGCCTAGTCCCACCTGGCGCTCCTTGCTCCTAGCTCCGTTTGCTCCGTGCTCCAACTGCTCCTAGCCTAGCGTCCAATATGGACTTCTCCCGCCGCCTTCATTTCGATGCAGAGGGGCGCCCGATAGAGTTCGGCACCTGGCTCCGCCAGACTCAGCGCCATCTCACCAGTCAGCGCCTGGACGGCGCCACCTTGTACGCCCACGTGTCCGGCTCCCTCCAGGCACCACCGCGTCCCGAGCCCCTCCATGCCGTGCCCCCCCCCCGGACTCCGGAGGCGCAGGCGGACTACGCTCGTCTCGTCTTGGCGCGGAGCGTTTGGGACTCCCGTGACGCTGCGGCTGCACTCGCGCTGACCGAGCTCCTTCCACCGACTGAGGCCACTCACTTCGACCTGGTAGAGACTGCGAAGGAGGTGTATGATGCTATTTCTGCATGCTATTCCACCCCTTCCTCTGCCTCCCTCGGCCGCATCCTCATGCCGTTCGTTTTTCCCGACCTCGGTTCGTTTGCGACTGTCTCTGACCTAGCCACACACTTGCGCTCTCTTGTCGCTAGCTACCGAGCAGCTTGCACTGAGGCTCAGCTTCTTGTTGCCCCTCCCCCTATCTGGCTCACCGTCCACTGGGTAGTCACTCGTCTCCCTGACCACCTCTCCACTGCCCATGACGCACTTCTCCAGCAGCACCCCAGTGAGCTTACGATTGATCTTCTCAAGACCACTCTCGGGAAGATCAAGAGTAATCTCCTCTCCGTTGCCTCCGCCACTGACGCAGTTGCCCCTCATCTGTTTGAGGGGAGTGCTGTCCCCCAGCTTCCTACCTTCACTGCTACTCGTGCCTCTGCTGGTGTGTTGGTCTCTGAGGACACTGCAGCTGTTTCTGCCGCTGACAAGAAGAAACAGGGCAAGGGAGGCAAGAAAGGGGGGAAGGGGGGTGGCGGCGGTGGAGGAGGTGGCAGTGGAGGAGGTGGCAGTGGTGGAGGTGGCCCTGGGGGCGGCGGTGGTGGCGGTAGCGGTGGGAGCTCTAGAGGAGGTGCTGACCCGCTTGCTGGAGGAGGTTCGACCAGCGGTGGTGCGGGGCCCCAGCAGCAGCACCCACAGCAGCAGCAGCCACATCAGAGACAGCAGCAACAGCAGGGATAGCAGCAGTGGCAGGCACAGCAGCAGTTTCAGTCGTGGGGACCACCAGTGCAGTGGGGTCCGCAGCAGCACTGGGGCCCTCCACCATAGTGGGGACCTGGAGGACCCGAGAGCACTGGCCGCAGCTGCAGCACTACCAGCTGGGCCCCTCGCCCCCCGCGGCACGACACCGGCCCCTGCGACCATTGGTGCGTCACCGCACCGGGCAGTCCCGATGTCTACGGCCGCGACGACCACTCTGCGGCGCGGTGCTTCTGCCGCCTCGACAACCTCTACCGTGCGCGCTGGGGTCCTAAGGCGACCACCCCGCGCTGGGCTCGCCTGCTAGCCCGTAAGATTCTTGTATTTGAACTGTCTATGGACGATGCTCGTCAGTGTGCTTTGTATGCTGATGTTGACTATAGTGCTGATGGATCTGTGTGCTCACGTATTTGTAGTCTAGGATGCTTGCCTCCTGTTAGTGTAGACCTCTGCCTCTCTAGTCTAGGTGCTTGTGTCTCTCCTCTAGATGCTTGTGTAGCCTCCGAACCTGACACACCTCCGGCTGAGGCGTCTCTGTCGTTCACGCTAGACTCTGGCGCGTCGCAGTGTTTCTTCCGCGACCACACGACCCTCACACCACTCCTTGCTCCGGTTTCGGTAGCTATGGCTGATCCTTCTTCAGGACCAGCCATTGCGCGCAGCTCTACCACCCTCCCGTGCCCTGTGGTCCCCTCTGGTGTCTTGCGCGGCCTCCACATCCCCACGTTCACTCGGAACTTGATGGGTGTTGGATACCTCCAGGACAGGGGGATCACCGTTACCTTTGTGGGGGGTGGGAGGACTGCGGTCTGTACAGACGCCGCTATAGGCGCTGTCCTGGCCACGTTCACCAAGGAGTCCCGCTCTGGTCTCTACGTTCTCCACACCGAGCGCTCCCTGGTTACTTCCTCCACTCAGGTCGATGCGTCCCCTCAGGTCCAAGTGTCTAGTCCGGTTGCTGTATCTGGTCAGGTAGTGGTGTCTGGTCAGGTTGCTGCGTCTTGCTCCTGTCGGTCCCTTGCCCACCCGACCGTCTTGTGGCACCACCGCCTTGGCCACCTGTCGCTCCCCCGCCTCCGCAGCATGGCTAGTCATAGTCTTGTCTCAGGTCTCCCGCGCGTCTTTCCGTCGCTCCCTCCCTCGCTTGCCCCACCCTGCACTCCTTGTGTCGCCGGCCGCCTGCGCGCCACTCCACACTCCTCCTCCCTTTGTTCGGCCACTGCTCCCTTCCAGACTCTCCACCTGGACGTCTGGGGCCCTGCCCCTACGCTGGGACCTGAGAGGGAGCGCTACTTTCTAGTGGTCATTGACGACTACTCCAGGTACACCACGGTGTTTCCTCTCGCGAAGAAGTCCGAGGTGACTTCTACGCTGATCTGGTGGCTTCTGGCCACTGAGGGCACTCATGGCAGTCGTGTCCATTGTCTCCACTCTGACCGTGGGGGTGAGTTTCGCTCCGGCGTCCTTGCCGGGTTCTGCGGCGAGCAGGGCATCAGACAGTCCTGGACGCTGCCGGAGTCCCCACATCAGAATGGGGTTGCTGAGCGCCGCATTAGCTTGGTCATGGACATTGCCCGCACGTCCATGATCCAAACCCGTGCGCCCCATTTTCTGTGGCCCTGCGCGCTGCGCTACGCCGCGCACCAGCTGAACCTCCAGCCGCGTGTCTCGCGGCCTGAGGTTTCACCGACCAGTCTTTGGACTGGATCCCCTGGTGTTGGGTCGGCCTTTCACGTCTGGGGCTGCCTTGCGCTTGTCCGCGACACCTCTGCGGACAAGCTCTTGGCTCACGCCAAGTTTAAGTCCTCTATCCAGGATTCGAAATCGATAGGGTGCCCCTCCACGTCAAACGTGAGGACAGTTACAGTCGCCATGGCAGAGACTAGGTCAAGTC